ACCCATTCATGGCAACAGTTTTTCCTGCGGGGGATGGTGTTTACCAACAGGATAATGCACCATGTCATAAGGGTCGAATCGTCTTGGATTGGTACGAGGAACATTCCAGTGACTTTCAAGTCATGTCTTGGCCCCCAAATTCACCCGACCTTAATCCAATAGAGCATTTGTGGTCCTACTTGGAAAACCAAATTCATGCTGCCACGCTACCCCCTCGCAATGTGAGGAAATTGCAGGACCAGTTGGTGAGCGCTTGGTACCAGATACCTCAGACTACCTATCAGCACCTTGTGGAATCAATGCCACGGCAGTTGCTAGCAGTTTTGAGGGCTAAAGCCATTTCAAAAGCCACATGAGCAAACTTTGGGAGGCATAGATGGCTGGCGAAAATCACTCATACACAAAAAACGGAAATTTAAAAAGAGCTTCATATGGAGAAGTAGCTCGACGGGTTTCAGAAGCTTGGAAAGCAATTTCTCCGGACACTATAAAATTAGATTTTTCGCTGGCGGAAATAATCCCGAGGGTTTCTATCGAAGAAAAATGTGATCTGACAGATGAAAATAATGATGATCACTGAATTGGATGAAGAATTGCTTCAATTGTTTAATTCGGAATCTGAATGCAGCGAATTTGAAGGGTTTGAGTGAACCTAAATTTTAAGTGGATGCGACCCACTTTAAAAAGCGTGCAAAGTGGATGCGACCCACTTAAGTTGTAAAATGTAAATATGTTGCAATGTAAGTCAGTTATATAATTCTTAACATAGAGATGGCGCCACCAGCGATTACCGATTGTAAAAATATTATTTTGAGCAGTTTGTCCGAAGTGTTTAATAACTTGCTTCTAGTCTTGCTTTTGTTAGACTACACATTTTATACTTTAATTTATATTTTAATTTCAAATTTTAGTTATATTTATAAAGCATTAATTTAATATATTTAATGTTTGCCGCTACATCGTTGTTATGGGTGCGACTTATAAACTGATATCTTCTTAGTTAAATAAAAGAGGTATGTTTCCAAAAAAAAAAAAAAAAATAATAATTATGAAATGTAAATATGCAGTAATGTAAAAAAATCATTTATATTAAATTAATAATATATTGGTTGAAATCTGAGCCATCACGATGGCTAAAAAAAACAAACCAGTTTCTTCGAGCAGTAAGATCCTCTCCTTGAATTCGTTCTTGGATGAAGAAGGCCTTATCCGTGATGGCGATAGGTTAGGAAATACACAATTATCGAATGACAGTAAACATCTTATTCTCCTACCGAAAAATCATCACTTAACTAATCTAATTATAATTCACTACCATGAATCCTTCTTGCGTGCTGGAACACTTTTTCTACAATTCGTAAAGAATTTTGGATAATAAATGCTAGATCGCTATAAAAAAGCAAATCTGGAAATGCATAAAATGCTTTTGATTAAAAGAAAAAACCGCGACACAGATATTGGCTCAGTTACCACCTTCAAGAGTAACGCCCTCTAGAGTATTTTCCAAGACTGTTCTGGATAAAGCTGGCTATGAAGAAACACAGTTTGAAATTGGAGCATACAAATTCGAAGTCGTTGATAGCTCCACCTATTTGGGGTCTAAGATTAGCAACAAAAACAACACTACACAAGAAATACACACGAGAATCACGATGGCCAATAAGTGTTTTTATGGACTAAGAAAATATCTTAAAGTCAAGCCTAATAAAAAGAAAAACAAAGGTGTTACTCTATAAGTGTCTTATACGATCAGTGCTTACATACGCATGTGAGACCTGGACAATGACCCGTGGAGATGAAAATATTATAGCTAGATTTGAGAGAAAAATACTGCGATGCATTTTTGGTGGAATAAGTAAAAGCGGTACCTGGTTTAGAAGATCAAACACGGAACTTTACAAAGCATATAAAGAACCTGATGTCATTAAATTTATCAAAATTCAAAGGATTAAATGGGCCGGCCACATTATAGGAATAGAGGATAGCAGGACAACCAAAAAAGTTTTCAGTGCCAGGTGCCAGGCCAACAGGTACAAGAAAAAGAAGACGGCCAAACCTAAGATTTTTAAACTGCCTTGAAAAGGATCTACAAGTTTTAAGGATAATAAACTGGAGAACGTTGGATAAGGGAAGAATATCTTGGCATAGGCTTGTTGAGAAGGCCAAGGCCCATCCTGGGCTGTCGTGCCAATGAGAGAGAGAGAGGTCTGGATTATGCAGGGCCATTTTTTGTGAAACCGCTATCTGGACGTGGAGTCAGATCAATTAAATTATACATTTGTATTTTTATGTGTTTCGCAACAAAAGCAGTGCACATCGAAGTTGTTGGAAATTTATCCGCTGAATCATTTATT